AAAATAATTACACGGAGACTGTATTCTTTTAAGCACTGCTTGGCCCATTCTCTTCTAGGCTAATTCTCACATATTAATTTAGCCCATTTCTAATCATCTGTGTGTAGCACCCCAAGGTGTGCTTACCGGGGAGATTCTAGCCTATGTCCATCCTGGGTCGGAGCTTCATCCCGGGAGCGGGGCATGGCGTCTCTCTCAGGCGTCTGCTCCCGAGAGCCGAGCGGTCGAGACTCTGAGCTCACTTCCTCTTCCTCCCAGCGTCCTGTTCTGCCTACTCCTCCCACCTATCTTTCAACCAATAAAATGGGCCAAGGCAGTTCCTTTATTAGCCAATGACCTTCCTCCATCACTGATAGACTTTTCTGTGAAGCAGGAATTTTGAAGGACTGTCCTACCTAGTCTGTTCAAAGTTCAGTAATTAGATTTCTTACTTTTGGATAGCACACTGTCAGCAGTCAAGGCAAGGGCAGTTTCTTGCTCAGTGGCTAACTGTGCCACAGTGAAAGCAAACTCCATATGGATGTTCTTTGATGCCCATCATCCTTTCTTTGAAGTTAATTAGTGCTGACAGAAGCAGATGTGTCTCACTATCATAAAAAGCCTTATGTTATTAAAACATCTTAAATGCCATATTCTGTAAATCTCTGAAGAGTTTGAAGGCCACCTATCCATCTAAAATAAATGTTTAATCTTGAAAACATACCTTAAATGACAAGTTTGATTGTTATAGATAATTAACCACTAACCTGCATTTTCTAATTATCCTAAACAGTTTGTAATAGTAGCTTTCGATGACTAGAACTTTACATTTTTAAACGAGCTGCATGGGTACAATACCTTAAACAAGAATATAATCATATATATATACAGTATGTTGTAATAAAAACTAGCCTTAAAGCTGGGCAGTTGTGGCAATCATCTTTAATCCCAGCACTCAGGAGGCAGAGGCAGGTAGATCTCTGTGAGTTCAAGGCCAGCCTGGTCTATAAGAACTAGTTCCAGGACAGCTAGGACTGTTACACAGAGAGAAACCCTGTCTCAAAATAACAAAACAAAACAAAACACTTAAATTTGTATCAATAAACAAAATCCATACCAGTGTAAAATATTTAATACTAGTAGTTGTTTTTTGGTCTAAAAGTAGATCCAATAATCTACCCTTTTATCTTACTATTTCTATAGCCCCCATGTTTTCTTTTCAGAAAAACGTACCTGGATCTAACCTCATTTGCTTAATTTCCTCCCTGACCATGACCAAAAACAACTTGCAACTAACCCTCTTATACAATGACAAACATCCATAATCCACCGAATGACCAAAAACCACCCAACCTACCTCTGGGGAATGTAGGCATTGTGTTCTTAAAATTACTTCCCGTTGTCTGGTGGTGATGGCATCTCTAGGAGACCCTAGAAAACTAGGATAATGGTCAAGTCTTGGGAGAGCTAGCTGTATTCATCTGTTGTTCAGTCTCTTGTGTGACAGGAAAGTGTGGGGCTTATCTGAAGTCCTGGCTGAAGTAATCTATGAGACTGAACCATATTAACTAACAGTTTTGAAATTTTCCTGAGCAATTTTTAGTCCAAAACTGGTCTTTCGGTGGTGTGTGTCAGCTTGATGGCATTATCACAGTCAAGGTGTGCTGGTGGAGGCTGTTTGTTCATTTTTTGGTACATTTTTTTTAAACACACTATGTTTCATTTAGAGGTCTTTTTTTTATCTGAATCTCTCTTTACTGTGTGTGTATCTGTAATTATTTTTTTGAACAGGAACACCCTTTTTCTTTTTTAATGCTAAGTGGGTAACGTGGGATTCCCCTCTGTATGCTGTGAATACCATTGGTTAATAAAGAAACTGTCTTAGGCTTGCACAGGGCAGAATATAGGAAGGTAGGAAAAACTAAACTGCATGCTAGGAGAAAGAAGGCAGAGTCAGGAGAAGCTATGGAGCCCCACTCAAGACAGACGCTGGGAACTTTACCCAATAAGCCACAGCCACGTGGCAATACACAGATTAATGGAGATGGGCTAGTTTAAGATGTAAGAGTTAGCCAATAAGAAGCTAGAGCTAATAGGCTAAGCAGTGATTTAATTAGTACAGTTTCTGTGTGGTTATTTCAGGAGTCTGAGCAGCCAGGAAACAAATGAGCGGTCTCCTACAACAAGCAGGCATGGCTAGAACCAACTCCGCAGTCCTACCTCCTTACTCCACCCAGTTTAACATGGCAGAGTATGTTTACTGCCTCTGAGAGCCATGTACACCACCCCAGTTCCAGGTCACAGTGGGTCTATATCACCATTAAGCAATTTGTAACACACTGCTCATAGACCCCATTTAAGTGCTTGGGCTCCTAAAAGAGCCAGAGCTGTTCATGCAACTAGCATGAACCAAGAAGACACCATTTTTTTAAATTTGTTTATTTATTAAAGATTTCTGCCTCCTCCCAGCCACCGCCTCCCATTTCCCTCCCCCTCCCCCGATCAAGTCCCCCTCCCTCATCAGCTTGAAGAGCAATCAGGGTTCCCTGACCTGTGGGAAGTCCAAGGACCACCCAACTCCATCCAGGTCTAGTAAGGTGAGCATCCAAACTGCCTACGCTCCCCCAAAGCCAGTACATACAGTAGGATCAAAAACCCATTGCCATTGTTCTTGAGTTCTGAGAAGACACCATTTTTTAAAGAAATCATACATTTTTTTGCTATTAATGTTAAATCAGGAAGACCACTATAAAAAGAGCCCAATGCCCCTGCTCACTGCCAGCAAACACAGCCCATTCGGGGGGCTGGGGAAAATTGGCTACCAAGAAGCTGTGCTAAACTCTGGGTTGGTTTTTTTTTGTTTGTTTGTCTAGAATTTTTTTTAAGTTCTTTCAGGTTTTATGTGGATGTAGTTACCCCACATTGGGCGCCAATCTGTCGGTGAAGGTTGTTTGTTCATTTTTCAGCCACCCAGAGCCAAAATAATCACACAGAAACTATATTAATTGCAACACTGCTTGGCTAATGACTCTAGCGTATTTTTAGCTAGCTAGCTCTTATATCTTAAATTAATCCATTCCTATTATTTTGTGTATTGCCACAAGACTTGTGGTTTACCAGTAAGGTTCCAGCGTCTGTCTCCTTCGGTAGTGTCTGTCTTCCATGGCATCTCTCTGGCTCCGCCTTCTTTCTCCTAGCATTTAGTTTAGTATTTCCACCTAGCTCTATTCTACTCTGCCATAGGTCCAAAACAGCTTCCTTATTAGCCAATGATAATAAAATATATTCATAGCATATAGAGGGGAATCTCTCACATCAAAGGTAGATTTGTTATTGCAGGGCCCCATCATTTTTTTGGAAACTTCAAAGGTCATAGTTCACTGTGGAAAACTTAAACATTTTATATGTAGATCTCCAAGAGGTTAGAGGGCCACAATCTATTACATACATCCAGGGTACATGAACTTAGTTCCTAATTACCTGCTTCAGACTTAAACCCAAACACATGTACAAGAAGCTAGATGAAGCTTATTCCTAGAATTAGTTAGTATTCTGTATGACTACTAAACCCCAGACAGAAAATTTATATATGTATATATGATTATTTATATATATAAAACAGATAAGAATATGTATATTCTTATAAACTGTTATATATAATATATAAGAAAATATATAATCTTATAGATTTTAAGATAATATGTAAACTTCATGTCTGAATATTATATAATAAAATCTATGGGATTATGTATATTATATTATATATATATATATATATGAAAAATTTAGGGGCTGGAGAAATAGCTGAGCAGTTAAGAGCACTGACTACTCTTCCACAGGACCTGGGTTCAATCCCCAGCACTCACTGCAGCTCACCACTGTCTGTAACTCCAGTTTCAGGAAACCTGGCACCCTCACACAGACATACATGCAGGCAAAACACCAATGCACATAGAATAAAAATAAGTAAATCATTTTTTAAAAAAAGAAAAAATTTAAAGAGTCAAAATAAAACCAAAGGAATATAAGATTAGTGGCAACAGAATAGTCCCTTAATTTTAATTTTCTTCTGTCCCATACCAGGTGGCTCTTCTGATATAAGACAGAGATTTTGGATTTTTCTTTAATAAAGATGCTTGGGTTTAGAGAAGCAGAGAGTCGCACTCCGACTCCTAAGCCAGCTTTGATTTTTTTTTGTTTGTTTGTTTGTTTACTTGTTTTTTGGTTTTGAGGGATTTGGGGGGGTTGTTTATTTGTTTGTTTTGGGTTGTTACATTTTGTTTTATTTTGAGGCAGGGTTTCTCTACAGCTTTTGGAGTCTCTCCTGGAACTAGCTCTTGAAGATCAGGCTGGCGTTGAACTCAAAGAGATCCGCCTGCCTCTGTCTCCCGCGTGCTGGGATTAAAGGCGTGAACCACCACCACCCAGCCAGCTTTGATTTTTAACTGAATTGGGACCACAGAAAGACCATTTGCCTTTTATGTTTGTAGAGAGCATCAAAAACGAGCATTTGGGAAGACGTATGAAAGTCTACCCCATAAGAGGTGTGCTACACCATGAGGCCAGCTTACTCTCTTTCTTGGGGCATTTTCTCTGAATGATTCTCCTTTCTTCAGATGTCTCATTTGTCCAGTGGTCTCTGAATTCCTTAGTTGGATGCTTTTATTCTCCTGGAAAGACAAAAACAAAATCCTGCCCCAACCCTAACCTCCTTTTTATGTAGGTTATATCTTTTTTAAGGAAAATGTTTTTTGGCAATAGAAAAAAATATTGTCTTTTAATTTCTTTCTTTTTTTTTTTTTGACATTTCAAAACTGGCTTTAAACATTCATCAGGGTGCCACATGGAGGATCTGGGATGAGAGACTGTTACATGTATGAGACTGGGATGCCCTGAGAGACATAAAAAGGGGACCCATGGGACAAGAATGCTGGGGTTCCCCCACCCCTACCACAGAACAAGAGAGTAGAGTAGAGGCCCTCTCTGGAGGGTTTCAGGGATATATAGGAGCCAGTCCTCCCTTGGAGGTAGATCATCCGGGAAGGAACTGAGGAGTAGCTCCCATGGTGGCAGGGGCAGGCGGTGGCTTCCTCAGTGGTACTGCTGGTAGTTGGGATAACCTGGGGCCGGAGCTCCTTCTTTAGGGGTTAGCTGGTTGGGGTCCTCCAAGAATGGGGGTGCATTGCGAAACTGCTGGGCGGTATTGCGAGTGAGAAGGATACCAACACCCTCGATGAGGGCCAACAGGATGCCCCCCATCATCGCAGAGCCCACCATAGCCAGAGGACCACTGCGTGCAGCCAGCACTGCTCCAGTCAACGCTCCACTGGTGATGGAGTTCCAGGGGTCTTCCTTGCCCCGCAGCCGTACAAGGCCACAGTCAATGGTGGAAAACAGGCCTCCCCACACTGCAAAGCTACCTCCAATCTGGGGTGCTCGAATCCTCACAGCATTGACACTACCTCTGAAGCCGTGTCGTATTCCAACAGGGGCATTGCGAAAGCCCTTGATAGCCTGGAAGACTCCACCACCAATGACACCCATAGTGAAGGCTCCACCGCAATCATCCACAATCCGCCATGGGCAAGGTTCGCGAGCGTACTCCTCCATGGCGCCTGGAGCAGTCGGTCGCACTCTTGTCTTTTAATTTCAAAAAATGTTTTTGAAATTTTGAAATTAAATGTACTTTGGTATATGTGGGTAAATATACCTATTTTCCCTTTCTCTTTACATATACATAAATTCAAGTTTAAGGTATATTTTAGATCACAAGGGACCATCATTTTGAATTTTAGCCTGTCTTTTTAGTAACCCTTTGAATTTGCTTAAAACACTTTAAATCTCTTAACTGGATTTTTAATACCAGACAACAAAAATATCCTTTTAATTTGAAAAGAAAATTCAAAAACTGATGTGCAAGATGGTGTGGGTCACATGACAATCTACAGCTTAACATTCTAATATGGAATTAAGACATGCGGTTTAAGAAACCCCATTTTTCCTTTCAAGCCAATAAGGCAATTGTGCCTTTGGTAAATTATCATTCAAAAATTTATTATTATTATTATTATTATTGTTATTATTATTATTATTATTTTCATACCTATCAAATGAAAGGCATTTGTTAGTCTTATAACTCAGTTTGGACTGGATGACCAAGCTATTTGATGAACTATCACCTCTCCTTAATCAAGAGGTCTCTTCTGTTCAAATCTAATCTTTATTGATTTTGAAGCAATCCATGGCATTTTATTTCCTGTGCAAACAAAGGCATAACCTCTTCCCCAATGCAACATTTCCTGACTTCCATTCTGAAGTTATGACATCCTTAAAATATATAGGCTGGTTTAATTCAGCAGGGTTTTTTTTTTCCCACAATCCAATGTTTCTCAGTTGTTGTTATTTTGTTCATTCACATTTAAAAGCTTTAAAGTTAACAAAGTACCACGTAATCTACTCTGGAGGTCTTTGCTACCCCTTCCTATTTCGGCTCGATTAGTTAGATTAGAGATAACTGCTTATTCTGTAGGATTGTGTGGTATGCCTGTAATATGCTTTATGTTGTGATATGAAAAAAACTGTTTCTTTTTCCCTTGTTAATTTACATTCATTCGTCCATCGTCAGCTTTGCCATGCTTTCTGCATGCTCCAGAAGGCTGGAACCTTTTTGAATTCTCTCTACAGAAAACATTGTTTCTAGGAACGCTTGCCTACAATCTCTTTGGAAACGAGTTTGTTTGCCACAGCGAAGACATTGTCTCAGAACCTTTAGAGATTACTTCTCCTATTAAAATTGAATCATAATTATGAGATCCAATATCAGCCGTATTTTTAATCCATTAATATAGTGGTGCTAATCTTTAGCGTTTTCAAAAGCCAGCCAAAGATTCAATTAATATTTGTCGGATTTCTGGGCCTGATAGTATTCTATATACAGCTGAGGTCAATCTTTGCAGAAAATCGGTGAAGGCTTCTTTTGGGCCTTCTATAATTTTAATAAGTGACTCAGACCTCTTTCCTGATTCTTCAACCTTGTCTCAAGCATTTTTTAAAGATTTATTTATTTATTATATATACAGTGCTCTCTCTGGATATGTGCCTGTAGGCCAGAACGGAGAACGAGATCTCATTAGAGACGGTTGTGAGCTACCCTGTGGTTGCTGGGAATTGAACTGAGGACTTTTGGAAGAGTAGCCAGTGCCCTTACCTCCAAGTCCCCTCTCCAGTCCTTTGTTCCAAGCATTTAAGGCTGCTAAACAAACGAGCACCAAGGTATGGTCATCAAATTCAAGCTGCCTTCACCTAGCAGCTGATCTTGGGAAATATTAACACCTCTAGCCCTGTTTCATTCTTCTATGGCCCTAGCTTCCTCTTTCCAACATATTTGCCATTGTAACTGAGGTCAGCCTCCAACGTTGCTGATGCCAAATCTTTCCAATCTTGGGGATAATGCGGTTCTGAGTTGCCCATGAGTTTATTATCTGCTTCACACAGGGTAAATGCACGCCATACGAAACAGCCTCTTCTCAGATCTCCTCGTCTAATATTTCTATAGGGTTCAAACTCTCCATAACCTAAGGTTGCTTTTCTAATATCTTTGGGCCACCCGTCTTCATTTGCATCATGCAAAGACACAGTAGAGATATCTTCTAGTCAGTCAGATTTTTATACTTGCTACAGTTATCAAACCTTTTTAAAGGATCAAATGTGAATTACCAAAATGATAGTAATTACCATTGGCATCATGCCAATCCCCTTGTTCATTTTTCCATTTTCAAGCCGTCCATAGTAACACTATACAGAGCACTAACTCCCTGAATTGTGACATTTCTCATTCTTAACATGGGAAAGATTTTTCTTTTTAATATCATTTAACTCTCCCCTTAAGACTTCCCAGGTGTCTCACCGAATCTGCTGATGTCTCAATTTGTCTGCAGCAATAGCACAGTCAGTGGTGGGCCCAAGCCCCTCTCATGATTTCTAGATGAGAGCCTGCTTTCGGGAGTCCCTGCAAGTGGCGGCAGCCTACTTTGCATGAATTCTCCCTTTGTGTGACAGTGCCCGTGCTGGATGCCAAGTGATGTTTTTTTTCTGTCAGCTTAGCAACTGCACATGAATCTATTGATGTTTTAATTCCGATCTCTGGCTCTATGGCCCCATAGTCAGTACACTTCCCACTCAGGCCACGGCCTGCAGGGACTTCCTACCAGGTGGCCCCAGCTCTGCTGCCTTAGCTTTAAACTGTAGGGCTTAAACTCTCCCACTTTTCATAACTGAATTTAAGTTGCAGCTCTCTGAGAAGGGCAAAACAGGTGTCTCTCGCAACAAAGGGCTATTATCCTCAATGTCCTCACATTCAGGGCTGAGGGAGAGAACAAACACCAGGCCTAAGTCAGCCTCACAGTGTCTCAAGGACAAATCCAGCAGCCCCCTTCTGAGTCACCTCCAGACTTGCCCAAGCTTGTGCAAGCGTATCTAAAAATGATAAGACTAAACCTCAGTCAATTAAAAGTATCCTGATGTGGGCTGGAGAGATGGCTCAGTGGTTAAGAGCATTGCCTGCTCTTCCAAAGGTCCTGAGTTCAATTCCCGGCAACCACATGGTGGTTCACAACCATCTGGAATGAGGTCTGGTGCCCTCTTCTGGCCTGCAGACATACGTACAGACAGAATATTGTATACATAATAAATAAATAAATAAATTTAAAAAAAAAGTATCCTGATGTAATTGTCCCTGCAACTCCCTTTAGCTGTGCTTAGGAGCCTGCATGCCCCTCAGGGTCGTTGCCAGTTTGTACAGGTGTGGATCCCTGCATGATGAAATATTAAATTTTCTTTGTTCTTACATACTGTTTGAGTCTAGGGTCTTTCTTCAGCTTTTCCTCGGACCCTGAAAAACTAAGTCTCTATCATTCTATTTACCAAAAAGACTTGGAAGTCAGATATGGGGGTGAAAACCTGCTAGGTCAGAGAGGACTAGAAGCAACCAGCTGACCTTCCTCCTTAGCCGGCAACCTAGAAAGAAGGACTCTCTTCCGCCATCCCAAACCAAAAAATGCCTTCCACATTCAAAGTATCTCCCTCCTCCTCTCTGTGGGTCTCTCTATCCGTCTTCCTGGCTCCCTGGACTCTCTAGGGCCAATTCCAGCCAGCTAGTTGCGGGCTCCACCAACTGAAACAAGGTTGATTTTAGTTAGTTAACACCGACACAAACCTGATGTTCACAGTGTGAGTAAACATCTCACCATACTGGGCCAAGCATGTGGGCTATTGTGTTAATGTTTCCTCCAATACTGAAGCATTCCATCCTGGCCAGAAGCTCCTTAGACAGGAAGGTAAGGAACTCAAAATAGCTTCAGGAAGTTCCTGAAACCAACCAGATTCATAAGGACTATGCTGCCAGAAGAAGCAATAACAGCTGAGAGTCCCTCTCAGAAGAGCAGTGAGACCAGATCAGCTGCCCTAAAGAGGCAGAAACCAGCCAAGCTGCCTGGTAAAGGTTTAGATGGCTGAGACTTGGGGAACAGACATCTCCAACCTGCTCAGCTGCCTGCAGGCTGTGCTGTGTGCTCCAGAGTCCCTGCTCTGTGAGCTCTCACCCGTGCTGGGGTAGGCTTTGTTTATGCAGCTGTTTTAGTCATTTCTCCAGGAAAAGTCCTGTCACACAACAGAGGTGTACAGTTTTAATCCCCGTACTCCAGAGGCAGAGGCAGGTGGATCTCTGTGAGCTCGAGAACAGCCTGGTCTACAAAGTGAGTTCCAGGACAGCCAAAGCTACGAAGTGAGAGTTTGTCTCAAAAACAAAACAATAAACTGGGCATCGTGGCTCAAGCCTTTATTCCCAGCACTCAGGAGGCAAAAGCAGGTGGAGCTCTGTGAGTTCGAGGCCAGCCTGGTCTACAAAGAGAGTTCCAGGGGGGCTGGAGAGATGGCTCAGTGGTTAAAAGCATTGCCTGCTCTTCCAAAGGTCCTGAGTTCAATTCCCAGCAACCACATGGTGGCTCACAACCATCTGTAAAGAGGTTTGGTGCCCTCTTCTGGCCTTCAGGCATACAGACAGAATATTGTATACATAATAAATAAATAAATTATACATAATAAATAAATATTTTAAAAAAAGAGAGAGAGTTCCAGGAAACCAAGGCTATTACACAGAGAAACCCTGTCTCAAAACAACAACAACAGCAACAATAATAATAATAGAAAATAAGATCCACAGCCTTGGGGACCTGAACTGAGTCTGTCACTTGATCTCCCTGAATTTAGAATTTTTTTTCTTCCTTCTTGGGAGGAAGTCTCTACCAAAATTACCTTTAGAACCCAGCCTTATACCTGCGGTGTGTCTGTCTTCACTTCCATTGAGGCTTTTAAAACCAAGTGAGAAGTAAAAAACAGGAGTGGGAGAGGCCAGGCTGGAGTTTGAGCATCTCTGCAGGACCAGGTACATACCCTCCTACAGTACTCAGTGCCGGCCCACAGCCTGGACACCTGCTGATGCCCCTGGGGCCATCACCCATCCCTGAAGCATGCTCACCCCAGCACATCCAGCAGAGGAGGGAATCACCTGTGGAGCCTCCTGCCTGGCTCATGGCCCCCACACACCCTGCCTGCCACACTCTAGAAGGG